ACCGAGACCGAGACCGAGACCGAGAGACAGAGCCAGGGACAGAGACAGACAGAGAGAGAGACCAGGACAGAGACGGAAGAGACAGACAGAGACAGAGACAGAAGCAGAGACACAGACAGAGGGAGAGAGAGCGACAGAGACAGAGACAGACACGGAGACGGAGACAGAGACAGAGACAAAAAGACAGACAGCGAGAGAGACACAGAGAGAGAGAGAGACACAGAGAGAGTGGAAGACACAGAGAGAGCCACTGATGCGAATCTCATGCAACCCGAGCACCAGACCTTCAGGGTCTGGTGGATCAAGGGACGGGCCAGTTGCTCTCGGCTCGCCACAACATCTATGGACCGACTCCTGGCACTGAAGACGTCCCTTTTCGGCCAACATGCACCCGTCCAGCCCTCTGTGCACTCGGCTTTTCTTCTGATGGACATGTCGGAATAGAAGCTGGACGTGTCAAGAAGACGTTTGCCCCTCACAGCCGATCTTGCTATACCGCGTTTCTGACATTGTGCTCAGAACGATGCGGCACTTGCATGTGAGCTGGCCAGGGCTGGTCGCTGGTAGTGCGCCTCTCCAGCCAGGTGAAGAGATCTCCGCCGCGGCAGTAGGACAGCACCAGGCAGTGCTCGCCCTCCTCGGCATGTGCCTTGCGAAAGGTGAGCTCAAACGGATGCCCGGCAGGTGACAACAAGGGACTCCGTTTCTAAAGCAGTGCCCAACTGACAGTCTCGATTCAGAGAGAATGGGTCGTTGCCCGGTATGGACAATTGCAAAGGCATCGCTGCAGTCCTGCAGCGCATCACAAGGCCCACAATCACCTGAATGCACGAGCTGATCGACATGACCACAATAATTCGACCCAAAGAGACCCATGGCATCGCGCATGTCACTCGCCACCTTGTTTGAAACTCGTTAAGCGAAACTCCTTATAAAAACTCCCCAAGACTAAGCCACTCTTTGCTCGTTGCAACCATTCTACCCTACCTGCCAGTTGGCGTGTCCTCCACATGAATAACCACAAGGACCATGATCACACGTTCGTCGAAAGACTGAAGATCGAAAACAGCGAGGCGGGCTGCGGACAAGCGTGTCTGAGCTCCTGCCTGTATCTTGCCCTTTAGATGATCTTCCTTGGCTGTGCAGGCGCACGCCTCTGGAAGACGACATCTTTAAGGTCTTGAACACGAAAGCCAGACAACACTGGCTTCGTTTGTAAAGCCCGGTGCAGGAGGATGTAACACAACCAAGATTCGGAAGATGCCGAAAAACTTGCAGACGTGCGGCTCACCTCACACCCAGAAGGCAAGGCAGCCAAAGAGTGATGCATACAGACACTGGTTTTGAGCAGGCACCAACCCTATCACAACTGTTGTAGCACGGCAGTTGCCACAGCGTTTGGAAGACCAATATCTGACGTGACTCAAGCTGTTCGACTGTGCTACTTCAGTCTCCCACCAAGTCTCTGGTCCAGGTATTGTGTGATGCATACATCCTCAGTGCCACAATTGTGGTGCCAACAAGGGCGCAACTCCCTTCTGCAAGTCTGCTTGACAATCTCAAGACTAACATCAAATTGACTTTAGCCGCAAACGGCTGGAATACCGAAGGTAAGAGAACGACACGCCAGGGCATCTCGGTTTCTTCCGGGTACGTCTTGACAAACTTCTCATGGTCTGCACCTCTGCACCAGGTGCACTTCCACTCCTCACATTTTCTGCATGAACCGGGCAGACAAACAGAGCAAAGGATCTGGCAGGTCCAGCAAAGCGGCATGACCTTGGCCTGGCACGATCACGAGGTCAGTCGGCATCACAAGCCACAAGCACAGATGGCAAACCCGGCATCCAACGATGTGTGGCGTCAGGCTCACGGCTTGGCTTAGGAGAAAAGCATGAAGGCCGCACCACCAAAAATTCCTTCGACTGCGCATCCTGACAAACAAAGCCAGGAAAAGGTTCGCCAGGCTCATCACATGTACTGGGATGCGCTGTGAACAGCCTGAAGCAACTCGACCTGCCCACCATTTCTGGGCGCTGCTTGGAACACTTCGAGAACTGCAAACCTGCAAGAATCACATGGCAGCACATTACACTGAGGTCAAACACTTCACAGCAATTACAAGGTGAACGATTGGAATGGATGCCACAAACCTCTAAAACCACCTGGTCTCAAAAGAATCGCTTTCTGGGTTCAATTCGCCGTGGACAAGGGCTGGCTGGCACGGAAGTAGTATGACCATCAATGACATGCCGTCTTCCAACCATGTCTCGGCTTCAGAGGTTGTCGGAAGACGACCTCATGTTGCTCCATGACACTCAACAATAGCACGTCCTGCCTCGACCAATCCCACTCCTGCACGACAGCTGTAGCACCGGCCTTACAGCTTTTCCTAAAAAGCAGGGTTGGCACACAGTCGTAAACTTGATGTTGCCAAGCAGACTGCTGGTGTCGAGGTTAGCACGTTTTCATTAACAGCTGTGATGTCAAGTCTCAGTGGTTTGCTATCGCCAAACGTCCACACTGGGGCAACGGGTTCCAAGTGACCGGCAAGTGCCGCGTCCAGGGTCACTGCCTGCACGACTCATTTGCTGCACTTTCACATCCAATATCTTGTGAAGAATCAACTTATGGAAAACACTCTTTTTGAGACTGCGGGAACGAAGGGGTCGTTCGGGCCTCAGCGGCCAGGAGCCGCATAGGCAACAACCTGCCTGAAACAAGTCAATCATTCGCTGCTTATTTCCACTGCGAGTTGAAACACTTTGCAACACGTGCCTGGTCATAGCATGCAGAATGTTGCACTCCGCAGCCCTAGATAGCAGTTACCGCCGGATGACTCCAGCCGAAGGATGGGCCAGCGTCTCAACTCTTCACCAAGCGCAACAATGGGCAAGGCAAGACTTGCAAGACAAGCTCAGCCAGGCGTGTGTTTGAGCAAGAACAACACGAAACCAAAAATTTTGTGCCAACTTGAAACGTGAGACACGTGTTTGCTGATGTCCCGACATCAGGATGCACTGATATGCTGGGGTTGTGTGTCTCTTATTGAACGTGATTTTTGTTTAAACAC